TGTGTGTGTGTGTGTGTGTGTGTTAGGGTATGTGTGTGCGTTTGTGTGTGTTTGTATCTATTGAATGAGAGGCTAACACTGTAAGCTCTGGACCACGAGAGCCCCCGCCTCCTATAGTAACACATAATTGTGGGAAGCAAGACCGACTAAACATCAAATTAACTCCGACAAAAACTTAGAAGAGAAAAATAATAACATATGCCACATAACAGAGTTGCTCTTGTTTATCTCTTTTCACGGTTGTGAGAATTTAAATGCACCTGTGAAGTAAAAACAAACTTATAGAAAGAAAACACATAAATTCTTTTTACTTATTACTCCAAAATGTACAAACAGTTAATACATGTACATGTAGGTTTGGAACGTTCTTCTTCTTTCACTTTGACCTGCTGTTTGTATTTCCATCTATCAAATATTTTTAAGTGTTTTGATTTGATACAGCATTGCGCCTATTTTGTCAAGAGGCAGTTTTCCTTTGTAACAACTAGAGCACTCTAAGAGATGAAAAGGTGGAGGTGGTGAGGATCACCAGGTGGCCACGGGACTACGGATGCGGGGACTCCTGAGTGCCGTGTGCCCCTTGCAACTGGAATGACCGTTAGTTAAGATTTACATCCCGTGAAACACAGTGAGGTTATTTGAGAGACACCATCTCAAATTTCAACATCCATCTGTCGTAGAACAGTGACTTTATGTGAGCCAGGTATCAAAGCCATTGAACCTCTGAATTTTTCTAGTTTGTTTTTTGTTTCATATCATCTCCTGTGGGATTTTAGCCAAGGAAGACCTTCTGCCCTGCAGGCGAGTGACTTAACCATGAAATTAGACTAGATTATGGAGATTTAGAACTTAATATGGAGATACGACATTTGTACTTTGAGGCATTCAGTTCGATTTTTCAGAAAACTGGGTTTTCTTAAAACAAAAATTGTTTCTAAATTCCACAGGAAAACAGCAATCTGTGAAAACTTTTAAAGTTGAAACATTGATTATACACACAAACAATGGGTAACAGTTAGATGGATGAGTTGGTGATTGATTTGAATCTGGAGCCATCTCAAACTTTGAAGGCTTATTTCTCAAAACTGGAGTGCGTGGACATACGACAGTTGTACTCTGGGCCGACGATGTGTTACCGGACGATTTTTACCTGTTTCCATAGTGGGAGAAAACTCGTGGGGCGAGCGGACAGCACGGATCTTCAGAGGAAGAACCCCCCTCAAACAAGTGCTTCGGCCCTAATTTCCTGACACTCTAAGGGGGACGGGCCACACTCAGGTCATGACTCCTAAGTGCTCTTCTGCTGTTTCTGTTTGTTTGTTTTCTGTTTTCTTTGCGCTGGTCGTGGGACGACCCTTCGAGGTTTTGGGGGTATTTCCGGGTCTTCAGTCCGTGCGTTTTCGTACAGTGCCACGGCGCTTCCAGCGGAAAATAGCAAAAGCGAATCTATACAAAAATCTACTATACTTTCCTATCTGCTGTCTGTTCTATTTGGCCCAGCTGCCGTTCCGTCTCGTCCACAGCCAGCTCGAACTCTTTAATGTAATTTCTGGAATGTTCTTGATGGCTGCCTTTCTCTTCCTGCCTTTGAGGTCAAGCTGTCCCAATAGTGTGAAAGTTAAGGCTGCCACAAACCCTCGTGTACCCACTTCCACGGGATTGACATTACAGCTATAGCAGTCTCCTTGGAGTTGATGCGAGAGATCCTCATATTTTGCCAACTTGCATTGGTGCTGTGCATCTATCTTACTTTCGTATGGTACAGTCAGCTCGATTAAGAAAATCTTAGCATCCGTTTCTGACCAGAGAACGAGATCTGGTTTGAGACCTGTTCTCTTGATCATGGAAGGGTAGTTCCGCCACTGTGGGAAATCTGTAGCTAGTTTCCAATCCTTTGACGATTCTAAAATGTTTCCACACGTGCTTTTTTCCAACCCACTTCTTCTTCTTCCCTGCTGTGAAGAATGTCTGGGCAGGGGCTACTGTGTTGTCGGGGTCGAACTCCAGGCTGCAGGTTATTGCGAGGACCAGCTCCTTCAGCACTCTGTTGTGCCGCCACGTGTATCTGCCGTCAGCAAGAGACACCCTACAGGAACTAAGGTCATGCTACATTGTCTGTCTCTCCTGGCACAATGGACAGTGGGGATCTTCTTCCTTGCCCCACTTCACGAGATTAGCTTTTGATGGCAGCAAGTCATATGTAGCTCTGATGATGAAGCTAAGTCTCAGAGGTGTCCAGTTTGTCCATTGGCCCTGCTGCGATGGTATCTCTTCTTGTCCTCCGTATCCCTCACTTCCTGGATCACCATGTCTCTGCTTTCTTTACCATGTGCCCTAGACCATCACAGCCTCTTCTCGCCTCCAAGTCTTTGTCTTCCAGCTTGGATATGGCCAATAACTTCTTTGAGCCTGAGGTTATCTTTGGCATCCATCACGGCATCCAAAACTTTCCACTTTCTGCCAGTTCTCAGTGTTAGTTGAACTGACCTGACCACCTCGTCCTGGGAATTCTCAAGCATCACCCGCAGCATTGTCTTGCCAGCTTTGTATTCCTCCACTAATGTCTTTAGTGGTAGTCTCAGTTTGACCTGTCGGCAGTACAGGGCAACATCTGAAAGCCCAGGAGGAACAGCAAGCCACTTTCTGGTGAATTTGTTGATCTTTGCCTCCATTGCTTCCACCGCGCTTGTGGCAATTTCGTACACCAAGAGCGGCCACAGCAACATTGAGGTCAGCATGTGCTGGAGACACCAGACCCTATGCCTTCCTGGTAGGGGGGAACGGTCAATCTTCTTCAGCCCGCTGTCAGTGCTGAGTGCTTTCTCTTTCGATTGTCTTGTGTCTTTCAGGGTCTCGTCATGCCACCTCCCCAGGCTCTTCACAGCTTCTTCAGAAACGCTGGGGATCCGTTGGCCACCTACATGGAATTGCTCACTTTTCCTTTTCTAAGCGAAAGGCTTCTTGATTTCTTTGGCTAGAAGTTCGTTCGATACCATCTCATCAAATCATCCAGATGACGAAGTATTCTGTGTGTCTCTTCTTCTTGGGAGGTAAGGATTGTCATGTCGTCCATGAATGCCTTCAGAGGTAGCATTTGAAAACCTGCTCCTAGTTCCGCTGGAATTGCTTTGCTTTCTGCCACCTTGAGAAGCACTTGCATCGCCAGGACGAAGAAAACTGGCAAAACCGTGCATCCCATTGCTATACCCGCCTTGGGGTAACCCAGTCTGTTGTATATTCATCCGTGCTGAATCCCATCTGGAACCCTTCGAAATAGGCATGGAGCATGAGACATATCTCTTTTGGAACGTGGCACATGAGGAGGACCATCTGAATCATTTGATGTGGAACCAAACCATTTGCATTTGCCAAGTCAAGCCAGATGACATCGAGGTTACGTTTGCCTTCCTTTGCTTTCTGGACGGCCTTCAAGATCATGCTGCCGTGTTCTAGACAGCCAACTATACCGGGTACTCCGCCTTTCTGCACAATGGTGTCTACGTACCCATTTGTCAATAGGTAGGACATGAGTCTGGATGCCATCACCGAGAAGAAGATTTTGCCCTCAACATTCAGCAGTGAGATAGGACGGAATTGACTGATCCCCTCAGAGTCCTTTTCTTTGGGGATGTAAACCCCATCAGCTTTCATACATTCCTTGCTAATGTGGCCGTTCTTCCATGCCAGTCTCAGCTGCCCGTGTAGCCATTTAAGGGCCTTGAGACATCTTTTATACAGTAAATATAGGATGCCATTGGGCCCAGGAGCAGGTTTGCATCTTGCTTTGTTGATATTTCGCTTTACTTCGTCGACTGTAAGCAACTTCTTGTTATTATTTTGATATCTTTGGGTTGGTAAGGACCTTATTCTTTCACTCTCTTCTTGTTATTCTGTTTGGTGAACTGAATTTTAATTTGCAATCAACTTCCTTCATTCTGCATTGGAATACACACTCGAGTAATAAAACTTTCACCACTACACCATTCCAACTTCTAACACAGTGACCTAATTACGTCATGTTGACCTCGCTCAAGTTCAGGGTAACAAAGGTGAGGCTAGAGATATAAATGGCAAGACAATGGACCAATCGCACATCGCTGTGAGCACTCCGGTGGATTGCTCCAAATCTATCATAATACGGGCATTGAATTGTGTAAGCTATCGTGGACTGGTATGAGATCTCGTAATTTTTAGACTGCCTCTATGGGCTTCTGTTCGGCTGGTGCATACTTATTAATATTTATGAACAAAAGCTGACATTCCATATGCCCGAAAACCCGATGCGAATTTCGGGTGCGAATTTCGTGTCCGAACTATTTTTTTCGCACAAACCTTTTTGTCATTGTGTAAATCCATATACCGGAATTTCGCATGGCAGAGTCCGAAATTTGCATGCGAAGATTTTTTTTCGCACGAGGGAGCGAAACTTTTTTCTTCGGCACCCGAATTCTTCGTGAAGTGGGCGGTGCTTATTTCCCGCCAAATCTACTTAAAAGGAACGAAGCAGCATGGAAGCACTAGGTAAATGGGAAAACGTCGAAATATTGATTTCCTTGGTTCAAGAGTGAAGTGTTAAAACTAAGACTGAAAAGAAGTGTTTATTTTCAAGGTGGCTGCCATTTCCTTGGCAACCACTTTTTTTTAAAAGTTAGTGGGAAACCTTCGGGAGTCTATGTAATCAAGATCTATCTATGCTATCATTTATCGTTTAAATCATGTAATAACAAAAAATAGCATTTCACTCAACCCCACACCCCCCCCCTCTTTAAATGCACTTGAATATAACTTCTAACATACATTAATTATAACTTAAGATTGCTGTCTGTGCCACAGCCACATCAGCCAGCGCTGTCGGTGATAGGACCGAAGCTTCGAAAAGAAAACGACCCAAGAAAGCAAAGCTTTTGAAGGAAGGACCATCATCAAGTCTGGACGAAGCAATTTAAAGCCTGCTTTCGTAGGAACAGGAATTTTAACAGCAAAATTCTCTCGTTTTCAACGTAGAGTGCTTGCTCTGACTGAACTGGTGCCGTGATTTCAGTCAGAAATGACGGACATGAATTTCGTGTACATGGAAGGTGGGCTCTTTTTTCATCGCACACGAATTTCGTTCGCACCCGAAGTTCGCATCGGTTTCTCGGGCATATGGAATACCAGCTTAAGAACCTCGGTCAAAACGTCATCGTTGTTTGGGTCGGCCCATAGAGCATTTTCCGAGATAGATTACACCACTGAACATGCTATGTTTTACTTGGGTGAAGCACAAGAACTTGAAATGGTAGAGTAGATGCTGCAGACTTGTGGATGTTGTATTGAACAAATAGGTTCTGGCGAGGAACTTGTACGGAAAACTGATTGGATGGTGGAATGTAAAGGTTCTTTTGTTGTCCCTTTGTGGGTATTGTGCGCATTAAAATGTTTGGGCAGCAGTGCACGGCCGTGCTCTATGGACGAGCCGCCACTGCCCTAAGGTCCAGAGTCTGGTTCAAGAAAAAACACCGGGGCCTCAGAACAATTCTGAATGGTCCTTTCCTTTCATATTATGACGTGTCTCTGTTCAGTAGAAAGTTCCACACTTACATAAAACGAAAAAAACATTACCTGAAGCTGTCGTTTCTCGTCAGCCGAAAGGGTCCCATAGATTTGAATATCGAGTGCTTGGTTATAGCACAACCAAAAAGTTTTCACGGCCTTACAAACCGCCTCACTGTTTTGGACATTCGTTATGTCTTCTGTATAGCTGCTAAGACACTTCGCTACAACTTGCTGATCTGTGAATAAAGGGGAACATTTGTAACAAAGGTGAAACAATAAAAGCAATTAATCATGACTATTCGTGTTGTAAAATGAAAACAAGGAGGGGCTAAAGAAAGAACAAGTGAGAAAGAACAACAAGAAGTATATATAATATATA